TTATACTAGGGTCTACATCTGAACATGTTCATTCTATTAATTTATACCTCTATTTCTATGTCAATGCAATATGGCTGTTTTTATTTAGTAAAACGGGTCTTTTCTCACTATTCCTCTTTTTCTGTATATTCTTGGCTTTTCTTAGGCCAGGTTTATATTTTACTATATACACTTTAAAATCATTTAATCTTATTATCCTCCAGATAGATTCTTGGGGTCAGAACTGAACTTCTGTTAAATTTAAGTGTTAACGTATCTGCTTTGAAATCAAGAAGAGAGACCATGAGAAAATGCAGAGGAAGAGTGACAGGAAGCACTGTGATTTCTGAGGAGAGGGTGGTGCTGTGGGTCTGCATCCATTTTTTCTGCCCCTTGAGTTCATCCTGAGCTTTGGACCACAGAATTTGTTTCCTCAGAGTTTGTTCCCTAAACTTACCCTTTGAACAGCAGATGTGATGGCCAGGCCTGGAGGTCAGCCTCCTCAGAAGCAGGAATGGCTTGTCTGCTTCCATCCACAATGTTCAAAATGTGTCCTGGAAGTACTGAATTAATTTGCTTGTGGAATACTTTCACACATGTGTGCAAAAATGAGCTAGGTTCTGGATCTTTGCCTCTAAAATTAGACTTGTCTGGTTGATGTACTAGTTGTGCTTGGATACCCCCTTGACATTGTAAAGCTGTCAGATCACCTCATCTTTTATTCTCAGACTGAGGCTGTCTTGTCTCCCAAGTTTTGAAGGTGGCAATTAGGTTCAGCATTTCATCATTCTGTGCCATCCAAACACAATTTAAGTCCTGTAAGTTTCTATGGAGATCATATATATTTTTAAAAATCTAAAGTAAACTAAATCATCATCATCACTGGCATCATTGTCATTGTCATTATCATGCTGCAGCAATGAAGAAAAGAAAAATGTAATGTTTTACAACTTTGTGATTGCTGTTAGCAAACCATCAGGCTGTCTCGAAGGGCCAGAGTCAGGCACAACAGTTGGAAGAAGGATTGGTTTTAGAAGTTTGGAGAAAATCCATCTACATTGGATTAGATGGAAGTTATTTGGACCAGATAAATCAAGTCTATTGACTAGAGACTTCTAGATTTGGAAGAGTGTCTGAATTGTGATCATGGCGTGTTTCTAGTGGTCATACCATCCTACCAGATCAGCAGAGTCCCACAGTTTCTGAGCTGGAAAGGGCCACAGAGCTCAAGTCCTGCCATTGCCCTCTTCCTCTTTGTTCCCCATCATTCACCACTCAGTGAGTGCTGGGTACTTCCCTGACCCCCAAGGTATGGCTTTCTTTGAAATGGAACATGCTGGGCCCGTCTCCCATGGTCTGCTGTTCAAAGAGCTTGCCCAGAGCAGCTTCACCCCTTCAGCTTGGTCCCCAGAATGAATCCAAGCAGGAAGACAGTGGAACAATAACATGCCAAGTGAAAAACAAACCAAAACTAAAACGAAACAAAAGTCCTCTCAACCCAGAATTTTATATCCAGCCAAAGTCTCCTTCAAGAATGAAGGTGATGTTTTCAGATTAAACAAAACAAGCAAAAACTAAGATAATATATTGCAAGTGCATCTTTGCTACAAGCAATGCTAAAGGAACTTGATACTAAGAAGACATAGATGTCCATGAAGGAATAAAGAACACTAGAAATGGTAAATATCTGATTAAATATAAGGCTATTTTTTTCTTAATTTAAAATTGTAAAGCAAAGCTTATAGCATTGTCTCATGAGGCTTATAATACATTATAAACAAATGACAACCATAGTATAAAGAACAGGGCACAGGAGACCTATAAGTTTGCAAGGTTTCTACATTGTATTTGAAACTGCACAATATTAACTCTATATGGACTGTGTAAAACTAAGAATGTATATTGTAATCCTTAATGAAACCACTGTAAAAGTACTGCAAAGAGACAAAACAAACATGTATTACACATAGAAACTGATGGGTGGTTCTCTCACAGGCCACTTTGCAGTAACTGGGTTTAGAAAAGCCTAAGTCCCCACTTCCATTATCGGATACCTATTCTGGGCACTTTCCTGAATTCATGGAGAGGGCCCAGCAACAGTTCCTGAAATGTCACGGCCCCATGAGGAAGAGCCAGACTACAATCTCAGCGACATCCCAGGAATGGCAGAAGCGACCTCTGATGAATCAGAACATGCCAGACCATAGTTTGTCACTCTTTGAGCACCTTTCTTAGGGAAATGCCACCTAGAAAAGACTAAATGAAATGATGTGAATGTTTAAATGTTTTCAAGACTGTTTTATAAATGTTGCCAATTAGCTCTCCATGTTGTATATCGCCTTCAAAGACTGTGATAAATCTGGTTGATTTCCTGCTGGGTTCATCTGAGAAATGAGAGCGGTGCGGGGGAGCCTCAGAAGAGGCCTCGGAGGTCCTCATGTCTGTAGAATGCTCAGCGCTTCTTCTGAGAATCGTTCTTGCTGGGTTTGTACCCTTGATGGGGCTCTGCACCCTTGGGGACTGTGCACCCGTCACCACTGGGCAGGCTGCAGAAGGCACCCCGAGTCTTCCTGGCACTTCACAGCCCTCCAGGCTGGGAAACATTTGCCTACAGACATTCTCTTACTATCTATTACATATGTTTTTATGAGAGGACCGAGCAGGAGGAATTTGTGATGAATAATTCATGTGCAATTGTTTTCAAAATATAAAGTTATTTTTCAAAGCAAGCGACCAATCAGAGGCTCATGCCTCTGCATGGGCCACAGCTTTCTTCCTAAACACCAGCACCCTCCCTTGCTGGGACAGGTTTCTCTGCAGAGCCAGGCCGGGATGCCTGCGCAGCTGGCTCAGAGCTGTCAGAATTCCCAGTCATGTACGCCTGCCCGCATCCCCAGGCAGGCCCTTGGGATAGCCCTGGACTCAGCGCTGCTCCCCTAAGCCCCCTGGGCAACACCGCAACACCTGCATCCTTCCCTTTTCTCTCAGCTTCCAGCTCTGCACTAAGATGGCTTGGTTACTGCCAGCCTCCACACACAAGCCAAGCCAGGGCCAAGGCCTGAACAATTGGACCAGTAAAGATACAGCAAGCTACTTTCATACTCAGTTCATTACTTACACAGACAGCGAAAGAAAGAAAAAGCCACAGGGTCCAGCCCCCTGGTCCTCTTCCCATATACCAAAAAGCACAACACCAACACAGAAGGAGCTGATGACTGCACTACAAGTCGTCAAATACTCTTGGCAACAGTCAAGTCCAGACTGCAGCCACGAGGTTTCTCCTCTGCGGCTCTAGTCAAGGGGCTCGGGGCAGAAAGTCCACACCTTACCAGAACCAGGAGGCAAGGAAAACTGTCTCCTGACAGCCCCCCAGGGGAAATGGGTAGGCAAGTGGGAGATGGCTCGTAGCAGTTCCTTGAGTGGCCTCCCGGCCTTTCATGCCCCATCAAGACTCAAACTAGCCTTTGCCTTGTGTGGCTGCTTTGGATACGTGGGAGAGCTCCAGGCTCCATGGCTCGCCAGCTTCCACCATGCAATTCCCTACCTATTTTTAACCTCCCTGTTCTTTGTCCAGGTCCCAGTGACCTTATTCCAACAGTGGAACTCATCATAGTAGTTAATATGAAGAACTGGGTTCGAGCCCCAGGCTGCCACTTCCTAGTCAGGTGACTGGGATAGCCATCTAAACTCCCTACGCCTCAGTTTCCACAGCTTTAAAACGGGTATGAGTACCTTTCTCAATGCCTCTGATAAGGATTAAATGAGATCTGTGTAGTGCCTGTAATGATCTCAGCACAAGGCCTGGCACATAATAGGCAATGAGTGTTGCTGCATAAAGACAAGGTATTCCTCATCCTCCTATTCTCTCCCCACACCCCACCTCTTCCACCAGGTGCAGTTAGCACAGCTTTGCTCCCGCTGTTCCTCTACTCTACTCTATAACTTGCTCTGGCTTCCTATGGTGTCAGAACTACCTGGCATCTGTTCATGCCCATCCATGTATTCCCCTCCTGCCCCCCCCAAAAAAAACTTCTCTTCACAACACTTCTGCCAACCCAGGTCTCCCAGAAAACCTCCTGTCCCAGATGGTGTCAGTCCACCTGGATGTCTTTGACCCCTAGACCAACAGACACATTGGAGTTGTGATTCTGTATCCTTTTCAGAAAAAAAGCCGTGTTTTCTCATTTAAATTGTGAATATCCCGAGAGTAGCAGAGGTGGTGCCTTCAGTCTACTTACATCCCCAGCATCCCTTTTTGGGGTGCTCAGAGCTCTGCTTAGTTGTTGACTCCATGAACAGTCCAACCAATCAGTGTCTCCCAGGAAGCCACCACCGAGAAGAGTCAGCTTCAATGCTTGCAATGCAGGAAGCAGGTTTTCTCCTTTGCTCTCTTGGCCTCCAACATGCACATGGAAACATGCACATGCAATTGGAGGAAAGGGATCAGGAAGAACTCTATGTGGACTGGCATAAGGAGAGGGGAAAAGAGTGTCCATGGATGCCTCCCAATAATAATAATTTTTAAAAAAACCACAGCAGCTTTCTATTTAAACTGTGGATTATGAGGAAATTTTAAGAAACATTTTAGTTTTCCTTCTTCAAACTACCTTGCTTTACTTTGTTTGTGTTTCCTTGAATATATGTGACTATAAATCCAGCTTGTGTGCCTCGAAAGCCACTGTGGTGACAAGTGTGCCTCTGGACATCTTGGATGGCATGGCTTGAGGAGGTGAGCAGTGCTGCTGTAAGCCTGAGCTCCATGCCAGTGGAGCACCAGGCCAGCCACTGTGTGTGCCTTTGTTCTCTCACTCAACAAACACAAGCCTTGTACTGGGGCCTGGGGACACAGGAGACCTGGCCCCGCCCTCTGGCAGTCTGTGGGTGGGGGAGGACAAGTAACAATCATGGGCTGGGACCCAGGGCTTTGGTGGTGAGTTCACACAGAAGCAGGAGGGGCTTGGTGAGCAGTGACTCCTGAGACAGCCTGACACCTCTCCACACTCAACTCTCTTCCTTGCCAGGTACTGGAAGGCAGTGGAATGCCCATGGACGACGACCAGTATGCTCTGCTGACTGCAAAAATAGGCTATAAGAAAGAAGGGATGAGTTACCTTGACTTTGCGGCAGGATTTGAAGGTAGCTCATGGCCAAGTGCACACGATATGGGTCGCATCTTGGGTGATGCTGCAAGTCTTTGGATGTGGAGACAACGTGTGTTCTGAGACTGGAAACAGATATTTTTGTTTAATTTTATCTGACCATGTCTCAGCCTCTTCTCTTCACTAAGTTAAACAGAACAATGAGTGCAGAACTTAGCCTGAATGAGTCTGCTGTGGACTCAGAGATCAGTGGCAGGTCAAGTTGACTCCACAGCCTGTTTCTTCAGGCACATCTCGTGTCCTTTCACAGTTTCCTTCTAACATAGCTGCTGGTTATCTGTAACTAATAATAACACATCCAGGGTGGACAAATCTTATTCCTCCTGGTTGATAGATAAGGACACAGAGATTCTAAAAGGTTCAGATCACCCAGCCTCACACCACCACCATGGTCACCAGTGCCGCTTTCTCACACGAGAAAGACATTTAGGTGGACAAAGAAGTCCTCTAGAAAAGCTACAGAAATCACACAGATGTGTCAGCAGAAGACTCTTCTCTTTTGCTGCAAATACCCGCAGACTGGCTGGGCAGAGCTCGAAAGCCCACACACTTTCCATTCTTCCAGCCTTGGGTCTGGGAAGTGATTGTGCAAGGTTATGCGTCTCTCCAGAGAACCTGGATGAGTCATGGCCAAAGTCTCCCACCCAGTTCCACCGGACTTTCGTTTGCCAGCCCTAAAGACAGGTCCCAACCCCTGAAAAAGGCCAACAAGGGAAGCCATAGCATTTCAGAATTTTGACACTTTGAGTATATTTTGACATTTTTGAAGAAAAATGGAAGGAAAAAGAACTCATATGCATTTTAGTGAGTGCTTCCAAAGTGCCGGGTGCATTCATTCTTCAGGTGAGAAAACTGGGACCCAGGAGGAATAGGTCACCTCCCTGAGGTTTCAGAGCTGGTGACTCCATGGCAGAGCTGGAACTTGACTCAATACCCAGTATCTCTCACCTGCTCTCGGCCTCCTGGCTGCCCTGCCCTGTTCTCCTCACCTCCCTTCCTACCCTTCCTCTCCCTGCCAGCTCCTCACTGCCCCTCTGAGCAGGCTTGCTGACCTCCATCAGTCTGTCAAGTGAGACTCTGAGTGATGCCATGCCAGGAGGCATGGCAGAGTGATCTGGCGGTAGTTATCTGGCAGATCTGGGTTATCTACCAGGCTGTACCAAGCCTAAGGGAGGCTGCATGCAGCCTTCGCTGTGAGGTGGAGTGAGCCAGGCTCAGGACAGGACACAGGGTACCCTGTGCTTCGGGTGCCCTGCTGATTGCCATCTTGGGGTGGGTGTGGTTGCAGTGTGAGCAGAGGACCACGCCTGACATAGGTCCCTGGTGTGCAACCTGGCTTTGACACAAGGCCATGCTCAGAGATAATCCCAGCCTGGTGGAAATGAATTGATTTTTAAGTAGAGCTTACACTTCCTTCCTCAATTTTAGGGGTCAGAGGGGATACAGCGCAGAGATGAACCAACTGGATTCTTGAATCTGACAGCTTAGATTCAGTTTTGCTGTCCACAGGCTCTCACCTCCTGGGAGAAGCTGGGGCACCCTCTGAGCTTCACCTCTTCCTTTGTAAAATGGACATGATCATACGTATGTGTCCTTGTGTGTCAACAAACAGGAGAGTCTACTGAGGGTTGTTGGACAAGAAACATATGAAGGCTCCAAGTGTATTATCTAACAGATTTGTGGTCAGAAAATAGTTGTTGAGTTGATGAATATTGCACATAATTCCAGGAAATGAAATAGAGGCAGGAACTCTCCTTCTCCTCCTCTGGGCACTAGGGGATGAGTGAGAGATGCAGGACTAGTGAACACACCAGGTGCCAAGTGCAATCTGTGCCAAGTAAAAGGAAGGCCTCTGATCTAGAGAACAGCTCCTCTTGTAACAGTGGGAGAGTGTCTGAGAAATGGAAGGAAAAGAAACCAGATCACAACAACATTCATGCTAAGTTCAGTTCACAGGACTGTATGACCATGCAGGGTTAGGATTAGGGACAAGGAGAGACAAAGTAGAGATGTAGCAATACAGAGGAGGGCACGGCACTAACGGAAGTCCTCTGATCTGTGTCACTGTTGCAGAAGCTCCGATGAGTGGGCCAGAAGCCACTCCACCACCAACTCCAGCTTCTTCCAAGAGCCACGTGCACAACCACTTTGTGACTGCTGAGGAATGCCTGAAACTCTTCCCCAAGAGACTGAAGGAGTCGTTCCGGGTAAACTGTGACTGTCCACTGCTTCACCTGTCCAGGTGTTCCTTTGCTCCCAACCACTCATCCCCTACAGATGAGAGTGCCAGTGCCCCGGTCGCATCCTGGTCTCCATACAGACACAGAGTGTTTCCCTCCCATCATAATCCAGACTCCTTTTTGTCTCCCCCACCCCCATCACCTCCTCTCCTCTCTTTCTCCTTCCCCCTTTCCTCCCTCCCCTCTCCTTTCCTGGTAGGACCACAGGAAGCCCAGCTCCATGCCACACCATTACTTTCCTACTATCTTTATTATCAGTGTGCTTGGCTACCCCGAACGTATGTCCTGTATTTTCTAAGATGATCTTTATTTTAAATAATTAAATAATGAATTAATTCACCAGCACCCACTCTATCCTGCCAAATAATTTATAGCCTGTGGGTAAAACCAAGATATAACCCCCTAACTGCCAGTTTTTGTATGAGACAGACCAGGATGTGAGTTATATCCGGGGCTCACTGGGACTTTGCTCATGTCCACGCAGGTATACATAAAGTGGACAAAGCATGTGAATGGAAAGGAACAGTCACTTTACTTAATTCGTGGAGTTCCCATTCCTGAGGAATTCTTGAACTTCTCATCAATAACAACAAAATGCACCCAATTTTCTATTAGTTTAAAATATAACTGTTGCTGATGTTGATGCTGCCATTCCCCCAGTCATTTTGGAAGCAGGTGAACCCATCTCAGCACTCACTTAGGTTTACAGACCTCAGCAAAACGGAGTCAGTCACACCCCACAGCCCAGGTCAAAGGCAAGCAGTTGGACAGTGAGGGAAAGTCTTTCCTCCTTGACTATGTTGAGGAAAGCCGGGGCACAAACCCCCCCCCCCAGGTAGTCTGGGGAACTGCCCTGGGAACAGAGCCACCACTCAGGCTCTCTGCAGCCCCTAGGGGCTCAGCTCTGACCCGGGGCTCACCTGGAAACACAGCTGGAAATGATCCCGTAACTTCAAGTGGCTCTTCAGCATGAAATGCAGTGCAATATTCCTCTAGGCAGTGTCTCTGCAGGTTCTGGCAGGTATCCCTGTGTTCATATATGATTTAAAAATAAACAAGGTAAAACAACCCAACCCACAACTAGGATCATAGTACACTCAGTACTCTGTAGTTTCATTTTTCACTTCATAATCCATCTTGGGCATCTGGCCTTGCAGGGTGGTCGCATCAACACATAGCTTGGATCAGAGCACCCCTTTGTTCTTAGGACAAGCCCTGCTTCCACCTGACTGACCCACGGGGTCCTCTTCATTCTCATGCCACACTCCAGGCAACGTTCTTTCTTGTTTCCATGTCCTTGCACATGCTGTTCCTTTGGATTGCTCCTAGCCCCGACTAACTAACTTCCTTCTTGTGCTTTTCAGACAGAGCCTTGCACTTCCTGTCTGACCTTAGGCAATAGTAATAGTAACAAACAATATTTCGGAGCACTTGCAAATTACACTAGGTGCTTTGCATCTATTAGCATGTTCACTCCCCATAACAACCCAAGGAGTGAGAAACTGTTATTGTCCCTATTTTACAGATGAGAAAACAGAGGGATGACAAGATTAAATATCTCACCCAATGTCATGCTTCTAGTAAGTGGCAAGGCTGAGATTTGCAACTAAGCTACCTGCCTCAAGTGTGCCCGCCATCATGCACCAGGGGCTTCTAAGTCACAGTTTCCCTGGGACCCCTGAGCCTCTGTTTCCTCATCTGCACAATGGGAATCCCTGTAGCCTCTGAGATGGACCGAGCAAGATGGACCGAGCAGAGGTCCTTCAGACAAGGCAGGGTCAACAGATTCTAGACACAGCTGATCTCTATCACAGCATATCAAAGATCTAAGATGATCTTTATTTTAAATAATTAAATAATGAATTAATCAGAAACAGAGACCTGGCCTTTAAGTGGCTCTTCAGCTTGAAATGCAGTGCAATATTTGTTTTCCTGTAAACATAAGTGGCCAAATATTAAAGTTATAGAAAAACATATGAGTGAGATTTTCGTGCACACCAGAAAGCTCCAGTACCTTTTTTTCTTTTTTCTGGTACTAGAAGTGCAGGTACCACAAGACAAGAGCATGAAAAGGAAAGAAAAACCTTTTTGGTTCTTTTCCCTGAACGCTTTGTCTTAAAAGAGGAAGCTGGAGAGCATAGTTTACAATTTCTTGAGAAAAGCAAAACATAGCAAGGATATTTCTGGAACAGGCTCATCTCCAAAATCAGTGGTCGGCACACAGACCAACTGCCCCTTCCTAATGTGCAGATGAGTCTGTACACGTGGGATGAGGAGTATGTCATTGTCCAGGGGTCGGAAGGGAAGTGCTTTGATATGTGTATTTTGTTCTCAGGACCCCTACTCTGCCTTCTTTAAAATGGACACCGACAGGGATGGCATCATCAACATGTATGATCTTCACAGACTGCTACAGCACTTACTGTTCAATCTCAAAGATAACGAGTTTGAGCGTTTCCTTGGCCTTCTTGGCTTGAGACTTAGTGTCACTTTAAATTTTCGGGAATTTCGAAATTTGTGTGAGAAGAGAACAATCAGGACAGATGACCCTCCTCAAAGACTCATTAGGTAAGATGGCAGCACGGTTCAGTGCCTTTTATATATACTGGCCTTTGCCACCGTGAAGCCCAGCATTTCCATGGCAGCCACAAAGAATGGATCGATTATTTTTTTCCTTTTCTAACTTCAAGAAAAGTCACACAAAGAATATTCATGCAATATAGAGCAATCAGAAAAATGCAACCCTAGTTTCCCAACCTGTGAGCATCATCTGTATATTTTTCTGGATACTATTTCAGTCTTTTTTCACATACATATACTTGTTCAAATACTTATTTTTTTCCTTATATTAATCTGAGCTCAAAAATATATTTTTTTTGCTCAGCCCTTCAAAAGTGAAATTTGGGAGAACTTTAAGCACACTCTGTCTTCTATCCAGTTGGGCCCTTCCACAGGACCCCCTGCAGGGTCAGGCAAAGGGCTGTGCATGAACTCGGTTCAGATAAATCCTTGTCAAGTGAACACAAGAGCTTTCTCTGGGAACTGATGCTTCCTACCTCCTCTTCACCTCCAGATGTTAATCTAGGTAATGGGTGTAAGTTTGGGGAAGTGCAGACCATCTTGTGGGAAACTAATTGGTAAGAATTGAGAAGCTGTCTGTGCCAGCTGCCTCAGAACACTTCCCTCCAGGTTCTCCCCAGGCAATGCTGTCCCCCAAGTCCCTGCCTAGACTGTACAGCTCACACATGGCAAGGAGAATCTCAGCATTGAGTCGAGCTCCAACTCCGCTGCCTCTCAGGGAGAGTGAACACTCCTTGAAGGCTCAGTGGGGCCTACCATCTAACCAGTACCTGTCCTAGCCGGCTCCCAGATGAGATCTGTTGGGTGCCAACATGCATGAATGAAGGAACCCCTCCTTGACCAGTTATTGTAATATTAGAAATTTTGAAATGTGATACACTATGCGAATACAGAGGTGTGTTTTCTGATATTATGATACAGCATCATGGTAACACTCACTATTTCATCCTTGAGGTGCTCTTAGCCCCCAGAGGCTCCAGACAGATATCCCTTCCACTGGGGCAAAGGCAGCTCCCCAAGGGAGTGGAGCCAAGGCCACTGTGCCAGACTTGTGAGACTTAGCAGGGCTGCAGAAGGCCCTCTGATCTTGCACTGCAATTTTCCCCCTGAATGTATTGTGTCTATACTAAAAAAAAAAAAAAAAAAGGCAAGAAAATGACTATGGTCTCTTGCTAAGCAGAATGATCATATTACATGTGAGATGAACACCTGCTCCCAGTTGCTCAGGTTCTGGAGAGCTTTAATATGAGACCTGATTGCTTAACATTCCCAAATAATTTTCTGAAGAAGGCATGCAAAATGAACATGGAAAAATTCAACCACCAAGTGTAATCTTCCCATTCAAATGATTCAACCTCATTATTTGTATTAATTTGTTCATTTATCAGATATTTACTAAGGATCTACTATGTGCTAGCCTTTGGCCTAGGACTGGGTAGTACAAGGATGAATAAGACTCAAATGCTATCAATCTTTTTCTTCTCTTTTTGGTAACTCAGTGACATGAAGCTTAGACCACCTGATTTTGTATCACAAGTCTCTGAAACTTATTTTTATTTTCTCTGTTGTTCAGATGGAATGATATCTGTCTACAAGTTTGTTGAGTCTTCTGTCATCTTCATTCTGCCATTGAGTCAATCTAGCACAAGTTTATTTCAATTAGAAAATTTTGAAGTTTCCATTTGGTTATTTTCTGGGTTTTTTGTTATTTTTGTTGTTGTTTTTTCTTTCAGGGATGTTCGTTTTTCCTTCATGGATATAATCACTGCTTTAAAAATCTAATAATTTCAACATCTGGTTAATCTTGGGGTTGATATTTGTTGTTTTTTGCCTTGATAGTTGTTGAGATGTTCCTGGGTGATTTTGGATTGTATCCTGAACATTTAAAATTTTTTATTATGACACTCTGGTCCAGTTAAATCCTCTGTAATATGTTGATTTATGTTTTTGTTTTAGTAGGCAATCAACACAATTAGTTTCAGACTACACATCTTGACCTGCCTTCTGTGGTTTCAGGATCAATGACTTTCATTTTCCAAGTTATTTCAGCACTATTTAGGGAAGTCCATGTGTGTACTACCCAGGGGCCAGTCTTAACTACACAGTGATCAAGTTCTCAAAGCCATTGCTATGCTGATTTGGGTGAGTTGCACACCTGAAGGGAGCCTGGAATTTTCTGAACAGATGTGGGGGTGCCAATTCCAGCTCTCTCTTCTCTATGCCCCAAGGAGCTACTTTTCTTGGTCTTCTGGCTAGAAAATCTTAGGTTTTAATCTATCTGTGCTACTTCTCATGACTAGGCACACCTCTGGGGCAGCATAATGAGAAAAAAAAGAGAAAAAGAAAATAATGTGGATTCCCCAACATATCTTGAATCACAGGAGACCCTTTTCTAATTTCCTCTGAACTAGAGAGATTTCAGGCAAAATTGAACACATTCAGGGTGGTATGGCCATAGACAGAGAGATGTCAGTTTTAAGTCCCTACTTGGTCAGTGCAGTTGTTGACACCACTATAAGAGTACAGTCTCAAACCTGGGCTTCCCTTATAGCAGGACTGAGAAAATAAAAGAGAGACAAAAAAGGGGAACTTCCCCACTCTTTGTTCTGCAGGGGCCCTTCTTCTTGTTTTTTTCTTTTTTTCTTGGTCAGAAAGACAGGCTTTCTTTTGGCTCTTTTGCTGCTCACATCTGCTGCACAGTTCCAGAATTAGGAATTCTCTTAACCCTAGCTTGGGAATATGGGAAGAAAACCCCATGAAACTCACAACTGTGTCATCCTTCAAGCTATGATTTCCTCTCCATCAGCCTCCTATTATTTACCTTTCCATGTCTTCAGAGAGTTGCCCATTGCAGTCCATGCAGGACTTTGGGTTGTCATAACAAGGAAAAGAAAGGGTGAAGTGTGCCTTCTTAACTGGGACCAGGATCATACCTCAGGACTTTCGTCCTGCCTGGAGTGTATTCACACATATGCCAAAGAGTGACTCCCTGGCAATGCTGCTGAAGTCTCCCATGCCCCATAATTCGTGGTCACATGCAGTGTCTGAAGTTATCTGATTCACTTATTTTTCCATGTTTTTGCTGTAAGATCTCCCTTCACAGCATAAGCTTCTTAACATGGATTCTGTCTGCATTTTTGGTCATTATGTTTCCAAGGACTAAACAGAACATAGTGACTGTTCCTGTTTTTTGTGACTGACAGGCTATCTGATAGGAAGGCTGGATCTGACTGATTGTCAAAAACTAATGAGCTAGGCAATAGGAGAGGAAATAACTATTGGAAAACCTCCTGATCTCTCTAGAGGGCGAGTATGGGAAAGGAGAGAAATGTATGGAAAATCAGTAGGACTCCCTGGTTTGAGCATGGGTAGCTAAGAAAATAATCAAGCCTGACCGCTTAGAAAAGAAACCAGGTTGTGAGACGTGGGGAACGAAGGACTGTTTGGTTGTGTTCAGATAATGAGACCAGCTAGGATGCATTGACTTTGCTGAGATAGCACATGCCCCTCAGGGACATGGCAACTGCACTTTTGGGAAGTCCAGGTGAGTTCCCTAGGTACAGGTAAGATTTAGGAGGAGTCTAAAGGTGAAGGCAGGGAAATATGCGTCATTAAGACTTAGAGTCCTTTTAAGCAAAAATTGTAAAAATGCAGCATAATTCCATCAGTCTTCCAAAACCTTTAGTGGTAAAGTAGTGACAGGGGATTGGTTGGTTGAGCTTTGGATCTCTTTTCGCTCTTGAAGTTCCAGGATTCTGCAGAGTCCGGTAGGCAGTTGGAGAGATATGGCACAGAAAAGAAGGTGAGCTTGTAGCACCAGTAGAACAGATTTATGGGTAAGCAGCACCACTGTTGTAGTGGGGGCATCACAAGGGATGACCTCTGAGAAGAGAGTGGTGAGAGGGAGTTCTCAAGGGCAGGGAAGCCAGCTAGGGAAGGAAAACACTGACTGAAGTTTACACTAGTCAGGCCCCAGGGTAGGTGTTCACACGGGCTTTACAAAGCTTCACACTTCCCTTCCCTAATTTATTCGAGTGGGTGGAAAGATCTGGGCCATCCTAAATTCTTTCAACTCCAGTCTTCATTGTGCTTCACTGTGGCCTAGCCAGGGACCATGAGCACAGGATTGTGTGTGTGTGTGTGTGTGTGTGTGTGTGTGTCATCAGGATTGTGTGTGTGTGTGTGTGTGTGTGTGTGTGTGTCATCAGTGTCCATCCTGTGAGTAAATATGATGGAATTGTGATCATCTTTAAATCCTACAAGTCTAACCTTGTAACATTTTAAAGATGTGGGGCACAATTCAGGATCAGGTATGTAAGTTGTCACTGATCAGTTACCTTTATTGATGTTATGTGCACCCCTCTCCCTCCCGCCGCCAACAGTAGTGTCGCACTACTGCCAATCCCTTTTTGTAATAAATAGTATGATAAAAGTTCAGGATCCACTTATGAGTGTGAATATGTGGTACTCAGTTCTTTGCTTCTGTAATAGATCACTGAGTATGATAAACTCTAAATCCATCCAGGTAGTTGTGAAGTTCATAATTTTGTCCTTCTTTATGACTGCATAATATTCCATCATGTATATGTACCACATTGTTTTTATCCAGTCCACTTTCGATGGTTGGTGCCATGTTTTTGCTATTGTGAATAATGCTGCAATAAACATGTGTGCACAAGTATCTTTTTTGTAGTCTAACCTTGGAAAATTAGCCAAACCTGTGAAATCTGTAAGCCATGCTCCCTCAGTGTTCTTCAACTGTTTCCTTTGGTCTTCATGATCACTCCAACTTACAAATTCAGAAAGAAAAGTTTTTAGTTGTTTTCTTCCCAGGATACTCAATGTTATATTGTGTTTTCCCCCCTCTGAGAATAAATGAGCCCTGTTTGTTTTGTGTGCTGAAAAAAAAAAGTTGAGTAGCATTTATCTGAAAATAAACAAGGACTTACAAAATTTAAGAAGACTTCCCTAACATGCAGCTGGGGAAATAAGACTGTATTTTAAGAATTAAGTTAGACCAGATGTGAAATAACAGACTTTAATGGTATCTTTGAAGCAAACAGGGGAATAGGGGAACCCCTTGGGAGATTAATGAGCCCATTAAATTTAAACACAGTTATTTATTATTTTTTTTTCTTTTAAGACCAAAACAGAAGGTCGCGGATTCAGAACTAGCTTGTGAACAGGCTCATCAGTATCTTGTTACCAAAGCGAAAAACAGATGGTCAGACTTGTCTAAGGTAAGAAAATGATTATTTCCTTAAAAGGAAAGAAAATCTATTTCAATGTTTCAGGATCACTGGGATGATCAAGCTGTTCAGATCCAGCTGCTGAGATGGGAAAAGAACTCTGTATACCCAATATGGCGACTCCTGTTATTCTTAAAAGACTTTTTCAAACTAAATTCTCACATGCAACTTCAACTGATGTTTAGAAAGGTATTGTTGGAGTTACATGGACAGAAATTCCTAGCACTATCTCTGGCTTGATAGTATTAAAAATTTAAATGAAAAATATAAGATGCTGCCATACTTAATTTTACACAATATAAGCATGTATTTTAAAGAGCTATTTCCTCCTGTCTTGCCAAAATTATAGAAGCATGTTTATAAGGCAAATACCCACTATGGGCAGTCATATAAATTGTGATCATGGCATTGAGATGGGGCTATCTATCCTGATGGTGAAAATGACAGCCATACCTACAAGATAATAAAACTGAATGGGCAAAACTGAGTTTGTCCTGAAATCTTGGCTGTGGGATCACCATTTTATAATGGAACAAGGACCCTATAACTTCTAAGAAATATTCTTAAAACTGCACTGTGGAATTATTTTGAAGAATGTCTCCACTTTGTTTCATTTGGTCTTTTTCTTTCTGTGATTCCTTTTCCTTGGCCCGTGCCCAGTATGCCCACTCTGTCTTTGAAGTCTGTTAAGCTGCTAGGACTGCCTTTGCTCAGCCCTCTATCCTCCATAGAATGGGCTGTCTGTGCTGGCCCAGGCCAGCTCATCACACAGCCAAAAGCTCTGTGTGGCCCACTGAGGCAGGCCCAGCCTTTCAGAGCAGCCCTCTAGGCCAAGGACTGTAGGGCAGGGTCCAGACTAGAAACTGCAGCCAACCCAGTGCTTACTAGCCAAGGAAGAGAACAGGACACACTATTTGACACCATCCTCCGCACCCTCCCATCAGCTTCTCTTTAACCTCAACTCACTCTGGTCTGACCTAATAAAGAAAAGCGCCCCCTTGCTCTCCAGCCAATCTCTCCTCTCTGCTGGTCCTGGGCACTCCCTTCCCTCATCCACACTCCCAGCTGCTGCTCTTCTCCCGACTTCTTTTTCCTCTCCTCTCTGTAGTCCACCCTCCAAGGCAGACTATATCAGCCTATGGACCCCAGGGACTCCCGAGGGCCAATTCCAGGACCCTTCCCGGTTTCACTCTTCCTGCATTGATTTACTCAGCATATATCCTGCACAAATGGGACAGTGGGATTCAGTGGGATTCAGTCTGAGCCCTGCCTCGTAGTGTTCACAGACCAGTGGCGGTGACAGTCATACAGCAACAAAGCAGATTACTAACAAAGCAGATCAGTGCTGTGGAAAACAACAGCAACAATAAAAAACAATAATAAACAGGCAGTTGGAGAGTGACAAGTGGATTGGAGAGGTCTTTGCTTCTGTCATCAATTGAGAGTTCCTGTTGCTCCTCGTCCTTACTAGCACTTGGTGTTGTTAGTGTTCTGGATTTGGGCCATTTTAAAAGGTGTGTAGTGGTATCTCTTTATGGTTTAATTTGCATTTCCATGATGACATATAATGTAGAGCATCTTTTCATAGGTTTATTTGCCATATCTATATCTTTTTTAGTGAGGTGTCTGTTATGGTCTTTGGCCCAATTTTTAATTGGCTGTCTTGTTTTTTTTATTGTTGAGTTTTAAGACTTCCTTGTATATTTTGGATAATAGTTCTTTGTAAGATATGTCTTTTACAAATATTTTTTCCTGGACCATGACTTGTCTTTCATTTTCTTGACAATGTCTTGTATAGAGCAGATATTTTTAATTTTAATGAAGCCTAGTTTATCAATTCTTTCTTTCATGAATTGTATTTAACAAGTCATTGCCAAACCCACAGTCATCTAGATTTTTCTCCTGCGTTATCTTCCAGGGGTATTTATTTACTTATAGAGACAAGGTATTGCTATCTTGCCCAGGCTGGTCTCAAACTCCTGCCCTCAAGCAGTCCTCCCTTCTTGGCCTCCTAAAGTACTGGGATTACAGATGTGAGCCAATGCACCCTACCTCCCAGAAGTTTTATAGTTTTACATTTTGTAGTTAGGTTTGTGATCCCTTTGAGTTAATGTTATGGAGGGTACATGTTCTGTGTCTAGAATCATATTTTTACATGTGGATGTCCGCCTGTTCCAGCAGTTTCTTGAAAAGTCTTTTTTCCTTGTATTGCCTGTGCCCTTTTGTCAAAAATCAGTTGGTAATATTTATATGAGTCTATTCTGTGCTCTCTATTCTGTTCCATTTATCTATTTGTCTGTTCTTTTGCCAGTATACCACACTTTCATGATTACTGTAGCTTTACAGAAAATCTCGAGGTCAGGTAGTATCTGTCCTCCAACTGTGTTATTTTCCTTTAGTATTTGTGTGTGTGTGTGTGTGTGTGTGTGTGTGTGTGTGTGTGTGTGTGTGTGGCTATTCTGGGTCTTTTGCCTCTCCAAATAAACTTTAGAATCAGTTTGTTGATGTCTACAAAATAATTTGATTAGGATTGAATGAGTCTATAAATCAAGTTGGGAAAAACTGACATTTGGTGATATGGAGTCTTTCTATCCATAAATATCTCCATTTATTTAATTCTTTGACTTCTTTCATCAGAGTTTTATAATTTTCTCTTTATAGCTCTTGAGATTTGTATCTTAAGGATTTCATTGAGGGGGTACTAATGTAAACAGTATTGTGTTTTTAATTTCAAATTCCTATTGTTCATTGCTGATATGTAGGAAAGTGATTGACTTTTGTTTATTAGCCTTGTATCTTGCAACCTTGGTATATTATTAGTTCCAGGAGTTTTTGTTGTTGATGATGATGATTCTTTTATATTTTCTACATAGACAATCATGTCATCTATGAACAAAGACAGTTTTATTTATTTCCTCACAACCTCTATATCTTTAATTTCCTTTTATTGTCTTATTGCACTAGCTATAACTTCCAGTAAAATGTTGAAAAAGCAGTGGTAAGAGAGACATCCTTTCCTTGTTCCTAATCTTAGTGAGAAATCTTTGGATTCTCATCATCAAGTATGATGTTAGCTATAGGGTTTTTGTAGATACCCTTTATCAGTTGAGGAAGTTCTCTCCATTCTTTGCTTGTTGAGAGTTATTACCAGGAATAGATGTTGAATTTTGTCAAATGCTTTTTAAAAAATCTGTTGATATGATCATGTGATTTTTTTCTACTTTTCTCTGTTAATGTGATAGATTACATTAATTGATTTTCAAATGATGAACCAGCCTTGTACACCTTGGATAAATCCCACTCAGTCATGGCAAACAATTCTTTTTGTACACTGTTGGATTTTATTTGCTAATATTTTGTTAAGGATTTGTTGTTGTTGTTGTTGTTGTTGTTTTATATCTGTCTTTGCGAGAGATGTTGGTCTGTAGTTTTTTTCTGGCATAGGTTCCTATAGAGGTGTCTGCTCACGGATGTCTGTTCCAGTAAGTTGTGATTCCCTATATTCACCTATTTGTCTCTCCTTTTCTGGGGACAGTGGCTTGATCTGTAACTCCACTTCTCTTATGAGCTAAGAAGTGTTTTTGATTTTTCAGTTTGTTCAAATTTTCACTTGTTTTTGGGACAAAGTGGTAGCTTCTAAGCTCCTGTGCCAACTTCACTATACATTTGTAAAGGGACTTTGAAATTCTCCAGATTTAATTTTTTTTAAGCTCAGTTATTTTTTTAGGTTTTGAGTATATAAAATGTACATGTAAAGTTTAAATAAATTTAAAGTAGTTCCCATGTAACCACCATCCAGAGGAAGGAAAAGAATATTTTCAATACCTTAGACCATGAGCCCAACAGGAAATATTTCTGGCTTTGTGAACCAAAAGGCTCCTGTCACAACTGCTCTACCCTACCCTTGTAGCAGTTGGTACTATCTGACTACCAAGGTTTTCAACTCTAATGGATGTATCTCAGGCAGCTTTAATTAGCATTTTGTGAGTTATTAATGAGACCGAGGATCTTTTAATTTGTTTATTCATTAGTCAGGTTTCCTTTTTTATGAAATACTTGCTCAAAATTTTTTTGCAGTTTTTGTATTAGTTTGTCTTTTATTGGCCAATAGAAGCTTGTACTGTGGTCATAGCATATCCTGTTCTATGGATGCTGCTCTTTTGTAAGGGATATGTGATGCAAATATCTTCTTCCAGTTTATACACTGGGTTCCCACCCCTTTATGTGGCTGTCTTTTGATGAATATAATGTAGTCACATTTTGTAATGTAGTCAGATTTATTACCATTTCTCTGTAGGTCTTGTTTTAGAAATCCCGTCCCTCCCTGAAGTCATGAAGATATCCTCTCACAGTACCTTATGGGAGCTTTGCAGTTTCAACTTGCACATTCAGGTCTTGAGATCTGGACTGGATGTTTCCTAAGTGTTGTGAGACAGGGACCAGGTTTAATTTCTTCCATAAAGAGATCCAGCTGTCCTAGGACCAGTCATTGTGAAGTTCATCCTGTCACCGACTGATCAGAGCATCACCGCTGTCCTACATCACAGCCCACTGCTGTTTTAATGCTTCCCCTTATGTTCCACAGGTTGAATTGTCTGTCCTGGCATCTATACCACATCTTTGTGGTTGCTACAACTTGATGATATATCAAATTAGCTAGTAGACAATTCCTTTTACCTTGTTATTTTAAGAGCTTTGAATCTGTTTGTCAAGTTCCACAAAGGAAAGAAAAACTTATTGGGATGTATTTATTTAGAGAAAAATGACATCTTTACTATTTGAGTTTTCTAATTCATGAACATAGTGTATTTCCAAATACTCTCATCTTTTAAAATATAATTTCAAAAAAGTTTTATACGTTTCTATAAACAAAATTATATACTTTGTACTTTATACTTTTCTTATATATCATTTATAGATTTATTTCTATGACTTTCTATTTTTGATGCTATTGTAAATGTTATCTTTTAAATTTTTTTCTGTGATTTGGCCTGTAGATATAGAATCTAGCCTTCTTGTTAAATTTACCTCCTATAATAACTTATTTGTGGATTCTTTGTACTCTTTGTATTCTTTATATACAATTATGCCACCTGTGAATAATGACAATTGCATTTCTCCCTGTTCTATCATTATACCTTTCTATCCTCTTACTTGCTTAACTAAACTGGCTGAGATCCCAGTGCAAAGTTGAATAGACAGTGATAGAGATATTCTTGTCTTGTTCCTGATCTTAAGAAGAATGTTTTGTTCTTTCACCATTAAGTATAATGCTTACAGAGAATTCTGAAGATGTACCCAATATATCCACTTGATAGTGTTGTTATGAAGAGGATTATATGAGCTATTACTTGGAAATATTTAAGACAGTGCTGAGTACCATGTGTGTTAGCTGTTATTCAAGTCTATGGTTCTATCAAATGTCTGACAAATCCCTAGATACCTTCTGCACACTTCAGAGACATAATTGTACCATGTCATCTTGTCATAATAGCTAGAGTCTAATGTCTCTCATTTCTGCTCTTACAGTCAGAAGACCAAACCAAAACATCCTTAAGATGATAATCCTCTATCTCATTTCCTAGGGCCTGGGAAATAATTTGGACTTATTTCTAATAGTTTGTGAACCCAAGTTGTTGACCAGAAGGAGAACCCAGGTCACATACCTAAGATTACTCATTTACCCAATACATAATACTTCTTCCTATTTGCTCTATCGCCTTCTTTATAGGAATGATGAGGATACCTGAACTTAGATTAAAAAGTAATTAAGGATAGATGAGAAGAAAAATGCCTTAGATTGTTCCAGATATTGACTACTGAAGATCTTTTATGCTGTCATAAACACATATTATATGTTACTAAATACCATCTTCTAATATTGTAGAATTTTATAGAAACTGATAACGAGGGCAATGGCATTCTTCGACGACGGGATATAAAGAATGCTCTGTATGGTTTTGATATTCCCCTCACACCAAGAGAATTTGAAAAGCTCTGGGCAAGGTAAGTGGCATGAGAAGACCATTCGGACAGTCCTGGCTCACTTACTGCAACATCAGCACAAATCTTTCATAACTACTTTGGAGGTTGAGGGCTGGGAATGGTTTTATTTTGGTTGTATCGGTCCTGTGTCCTGTGTCCTTGTTCCTCGGTCCACAGAGAAAGCAGCTGAGGTGGACAGGTTGGTCTTCAGGAACATGGAGAACCAGGGAAAACACTCATCATCAGTCCTGAACTAGAGAGGTTTGCCTTTCCAAGGAACCAGGAATTTAATTTTGCACTTTTACAATTTTAGAGGAATAAGTCACTCTCCAAAGACTTTAATACAACTCACTCAGCAGACAGATATGCAATGAGTAAAGAAAGGAACAGTTTCTCCCATTGCCTAAAGATGGAAATCAATATTGCACAACGGTTTTATAGATAGGTAATTTGTGGGAAGAAAATAACCAAACTTTTGACAACTTAGAGTAGTTTCCCGATGGTCTCTTAAACTGGAAATAAAGATCTAATGTTGGTTCCATTTTTCAAAATATATTTTAGATTTAGCTGTTTTGAGTCAGGCCCCCAGTTATGATATTCCCTGTGTAGATGTCTGAGTTTCAAGGCACTCTCACAAGGTGATATATTTCCAAGTTCCAGATCCATCTTTGAATTACTTCCTTCTTCATTATGTGTTCGGTGCCACTTGCATTCCCCCAGGATGGGATACCAATATTGTACGTCCACTGCTCATGAAGCAGTTCATGTAATGTATTAACTTTTCATCTGTTCAAGGTGAAAGACTGAAATGTTGGCCATGTTTAGAATTCGGTGGATTGTGTTGCATCTAATTTAGGAAAGCAATTTGAAGTTCTTACAAATTCCTTCTTTTTTTTTAAATTGGAGTCTCATTCTATCGTCCAGACTGGAGTTCGGTGCCACACACACTCACGGCCACCCCAAAGTTGACCTGCTGGATTCCGGCGATCCTTTTACCTCAGCTCTCCAAGCCTTATTTTTTTTAAGATCGGTTCCAACAGAGGACCCATTTTCTTTTTCAGTAGATTATATCAGCAGTTCCAACTGAGTAAGGAACCAATCTTTGTAGAGCAGGCAAATGCATAGCCCTCCCACTTTTGAGATGATTCAAAGATGACCACATGGTCCCTGTCCTCAGCGAGCTGTCAGGGTATGGAAAACATTCACACAGATTGCTAGAGTGCAACATTCACTCTGCAAAATGCCAGACCAGAGAGCAAGCTGAGTTGCATGGTGGCTAAAGCAGGAGTGCTGGGGGCCCTGGAGGGCTGGGCAGCTGTCATGGTAGAAATGACGTGGACATAGCATTTCTAGAGGCCAAGAGTGAGAAGGAGACATTCTGAGTCAGGCGACTGCCTCATCTACGGGAAGGCATTTTAGCAGGAGTGGCTTGGGGCTCCTGAGGTCAGAAAGGGAGGGTAAGCCTGATCGCCTTGCCAGGTCCTTGTTTTCAGAGATTATTGACCAGGCTTTCGGGAACAATGGCATTGGAGTGGGACTGTGACGAGAGCAGAGCTGTGGTTTAGGCAGACTAATGAGAAATCAGTTCCAGGGAGGGAATGGATGCGCGTGTGGGCACTGGGAGACTGCTGCCTCTACCAGAGTGGGGCTAGGTGTGGAATGAGAGAGACTGGAGTCCAGTCTCCCCCACGAGGATTCCCATGGGGAATGCGGACATACATACCCTCTTCCTGAGGGCAGGACAGAGCCTGTTTCCATTTTCATTGGAGAGAGACACTCACTGTTGCTCTTGGCTGAAGTTTCTTTATACATTTATGAATATTATTATGAAACACACGTATATTTACCCTGTGTTGGCAACTGCTAGTGGTCAGAATTTTATCTACTGTTGTTTAGTTGACCTCACCCCATGGACAGTGACTGGCTAAGAGCAACAGCCAGATGCATGGGCATGATTCCTGCCCCTCTTCCTGCTGTGTGGCCCCCATCAAGTTACTTAACTTCTCTGTGCCTCATGCTCCTCATGTGCAAAGCCTGATTAGTCACCCCATCACCCAGGGACATTGTGAGGCCTGGTCAAGGAATCCATGTGAGGTGCAAGCATGGGCCTGGCACACAAGGGCCACTCATTACATTTAGCAATCCACTCCTCATGTGTTCACCCTGCAAATGCATATTACACACTGGCCATGTGGTTCTTTGTCAGACTGAGAATGACCAAGATGAATAAACAACACAGAGCTCATCCCCAAAGATTGCTGCCTAGTCTGAAGAAGAGAAAATACTTAGTAATCTTTTGCAGAGACCCTGAGGAGACTGGCAAAGACCTCACAGATCAGTGCCTGATAAACTGGGCTCTTATATTGAGTTATTTTAAGGTGATTTTTTTTCACATAACAAAATTAATTTATGAAGTGAAGAGGTACAAGAGTAACAGCAAATCTAGTGTGATAGAGAGATTATAAATTTGGCGACATGGAAAAGTCCAGTTCCTGGTGTCATGATTTCTCTCTTCACACCCTTCACTCAGTGAATCCCTTTTGCAGTTCTAGAAATGACCTCTTTCAGTCAGCCCATATATTCTCTTCATAATTCTTCTGGTGTCCGTGTTCTTTATTCTCTCTTAATGAATCAAGCAGTTACTAGTAAGCATTGCAAATTATAGCACCTATTATTTTGATTTTGTTTCATTAGATGAACTTCCTAAAAAGTATTTCATGCTATATCTACATTTTCAAAATCAAATTAAATTTTTATTGCTTTAGGATTTTATTAGCTGCTATTTCTTCACCCAGTTTTTTTATATAAATATTAAAATACACATAATGAAATGTAGCATCTTTGCCATGTTTAAGCATACAATCCAGTGGTATTCAGTACATTCACCATGTTGTACAGCCATCACCACCACCCAACCGCAGGACCCCTGCATCTTGTAAAACTGAGATTTTTAAGGTGATGCTGAACTGAGTTGGTTTGGACATGTAGGTCAGATACGACTGCGGTAACGACCAAGGCTGACATCTCAGTGTCTTCCCCAAATGACATCAAAATAATAGTGTGGTATGTGTAGGGGTGCTCTACCCACAGGAGCATTTGGGAACCAGGTGTTCCACCATCTCCTGGATCTTTGATATCTGCCAGCAGAGAAGGAGGAAGAGCATAGGGAATTGTGTGGTCAGCTTGCAGGAGCCAGGCCTGGAGGCGTGGCCATCTCTCTATGCCTTTGGCAGAGTCCATTCACCTGACTGCACCCACCTACAAGTGAGGCTGGGAGAAGCAATCTGCATGTGTGTCCAGGAGGCAAAAAACACAGAGATGGGGAGCTCACCAAAGTGTCTGCTACATGTGGAACTACCTCCCACCCCCACCCCGGGAGAAGGGAAGGGGGTGTTCAAGGCAGGGGGAGCTCTAGGAGTACATTCATCAGTGTCCAGGTGGGAAAACAGAAACCACTCTCAAGATGCTCAGCCAAGGGGCTTTAATGTAGTGAATGATGACACAGGTGTTGGAGGCTGGAAGTCTACAAAGGGGAAACTGCTATTACTCAGAGACCGGAAGCTGCTGCCATGGGCTGGCAGAGCAAGAGAGGAAGGTGATACTACCCAGAGACTGGAAACTCTCCCCACCCCCGCTTCCACCCAGAGACCAGGAACAAAAGGGAAACAGTATTTCTTAAGAGATCAGGAAGTTGCCTCCAACCTGGGCTGGAGCCCACAACTCTGCCCAAGAGCTGATGTCACTGATGTTGTTATGAAAGCTGCTAGACCTTCAGCCACTGTGCTGAACAGGAGCCATGGCCCCTGCCGCCACTGGAGGTGCCCCTGGCAACAGCATGGCTCTGTCCTCATCCAGCCTTCTGATTGGACAGGCCTCCCTGGGAGCAGCGTGGTGGGTGGCACATAGGATGTACAGAAGGACTAATGCGGGGTTGGGAGTCACCAGGTAAATATCCTCCTAGAGAGCCAGTGGGGTTGTCACCTCTTGGGACTGCTGAGTACCCTGGGTGGCCAGAAGACAGCATGGGACAAGCCATACTTGCATTCTAGAAAGATTACCCTGGCCACAGGAAGGAGAATGAACTGCAGGAGACGGGGCTGGACCACAGAGGTGACTTAGGGGCCATCTCAGCAGCCCAAGCAAGAAGACACATGAGCCGTGAGCTCTCCCAGGTGGTGCTAGGAAGACTGGAAGGAAACGAGGTTTTGAGAGGGACTTGGGAGGTGAAAACTTGCCTCTCGTATTCTGGAAGGAGAGGTGTTATAAGGAGATAGGTGTTCCTCGGACTTGGTCTTGGGGGGTCATGCATAGAAATGAGAAGACCCCCAAGGAGGCAAGAAGCCCACAGTACAGTTAGGGCTCTGCTCAGAACTGGCACCTGCACTCCTGGCCCAGAGTTCCTGGGCTGAGCCGAGGGGCCCTGGGCCAGAGTGGCTCACCTTCTCTGGGCTTCAGCATCTATTGAATGGGATGCCCATGTGAGCTAAACAGCGTAATGTGTGAGAGTACCAGACATATGTAAGCATGAAAATCAGTAGCAAGATGATAATATAGACTTGAAAAAAATTTCTAATGGTAATATTAATGCACACTCATTTAAAAAGACTCAGAAAATCCAGAAACGCATAAAAGAAAAGACAGCAATAGACCAGCCCTGAAGCACTCAGCTGAGATGGTGAACCATGGCAACCCGGCGGTGTATTTTTTTCCTACGTGTTGACGTTGCATCAGTTCAATTGTCCTCACCTTCCTTCCCACTCAGCTTGTTCCTCTCCCTCACCCAGTGTTTGCTAATACTGACGGTTCACCTCTCCATCATGGTGGCAGGAAGCATTGCAAGGCGGCATGAAGGGGCTTGGTGGCCGTGGTAGGTTGTCACAGCACCCAGGAGCCTCCTTCAGTTGCCCTAACAACTAGTCATCTGGTCCCTGAAACCGCGGCAGAGACAGGCCTCCCCTCCAGCCATGGGCTGTCTCCTGGTGTGAGTGTCCAATGTTCCTGAGGAACAGGGGTGACAGGGA